GTGCTGTGAATAGAATGTTTTGCGCCTAAAAGATCCCAAGATCCAATAAGGGCAGACACCCCCCCCCCGTCATACCGTAAATAGAGCGAACCAAACAGTTCCTTGCCTGAAAAAGTGATAATGAATACACTTGACACATTACCAATAACAAATTAAAAATGTCCTAGATTTGATGTCAGATGGTATCTATAAAAACAAAACTGGAACGTTCCTTGTTGAGAAAAATTGAAATTGAGATCTTGGCTTGACTTGTCGATTATTGTCAAATGATTATCGTTACTATAAAGTTTTCGTTACTATAAAATTAGCATAATACCTGTAGATTTGGTAGGTGCCTTGATAAAAACTTTCCTTTCAAATTCATCGGCGACGTCTGAAACTAATGAATATGGCAAAGATGGTTAGTTTATACGAGTTAATTAAATGCACCACGAGACCAATAGTTACTTTGACCAATAATCTCTCGAATGAACTGGTTCAAATACCGTGCCACAGGCTAAAACTAATCAGCTCGCCCCCAGACCCCCATCAGCTTTCTGTTCCATACAAAGAATGACCATTGTCTTAAGGCCAGCTTCGCCACTGCTACTGGCTAAAACTCAAATCTAGCCGTACCATCTCGTGGCCTAACTTAGATATGCAATAAAAACCTAGCCCTCACATACAAAAAACAGTCATCCTTAAAAATGGGATCATATCATATGCTATCTTTCCCTCTTCTTGCTTCTCCGTGGTCATGCAATGCTTGCAATTTCCTACTGGGTCAAATTACGACTGACAGGTGACAGATATTTTCTGTAGACGTTAATCGAAAAACGTTAAAGGCAATCTGTCACGACGTTGATTGGTTACAAGAACAAAGGGATTTTTATTGTTTCCAGTCCCCCTTTAATTTATCGCATTGTAAAAAATATGGCGGAGCGCTGGAATCGTGTTTAGGCTATTGTTCCCGCTATAATCGGAAAACGTTAACCGTTACTACTGTATTGTCTATTCAAGATATTATATAGTACAAAATTTCATCAACAAAGGAAGAGATTGATTGCTTGAATAATTTCAACACTTAAAGTTTAAAAATTAGTAAGTTGTTGAATTACTGAATAAAAGCAACTGTATGAACTGTCGTCCCAACACAAGTTCAATCAATTGCAACCTACGCTAACAATTCCAAATCAAGTTATTTTCTAAATACAAATTGATATAGTTAAAGTACGACTTTGTTAATGGAAATTGAATAATTTTGCAATGCTTCAACCATAAACAAGACTTGAAAATTGTGGATCGAAAGTTATGCTCGAAAGATGATCCATCGGTTTCGATCCAGAACTGGGTATATATAATTCCTAGCGTAGGGTTTTCGATCTATGTTCTGACGTTTTAAAGTCTGAAGAGTGTCAGATGAAAAGCTTTAGTTTACGCAAACCTTTCCTTCAACAGAATTCAAAACTAGCAGTTTTCGAAATTGAAAGCTTTCAAAAACTCGCCACATCTTTATTTCTCTATAATCTTCGAAGAAAACTCTTGCAAAAATTCTTAAAGGTAACTTCTTAAAAAATTATGAAATGGTTTAACAATGATGAGTAACAAAAAGTTTAAAAAAGATAACCATCGTCTCTTGCATTTGACACTTGTACTGGCAGCGTGGAGGAAGCTCCATTTTTGTCCTTTTCTGAAAAAGTAATAGGCATCAGGTTATGGTTGAAAGCAATGAACAAATGTTTCAAGATAAAACCGTAGGTTTGGAAGACAGTCACTTTACGAAAAATGTTACATTTGTTAGAAAACCAAGAATCTAAAAATGGTTTGTACCAAAAGGTATGGTTAGCAATACAAATGTTCAAGCCATTGGTTTCCGAAAATGACATTGTGAATGCTACGAAGAATGAATGACGACAGTGATAAAAAATACGGTAATTGCCAAATCAAATCAAATTTTAAGAAAATAAGAGTAAAATCGCTACGAACTTGATTACACTAAAACTGAAAATGACGGAGCTAAATGCCAAATCTTGATCTATATGCAATGATAAAAGTTGAAAAATTGCAGGAAACACGAAGAGAGATTGAACATTTATGGAGGGGTGGGGTGCCCAATGAGTGGGAGGGGTTGCTAGCGAATGACTAAATATTTGAGAAGAAAGCGATAGCATAAATTAGATCATATTGTTAAAATCTTATCAGATTATACTAGGCCCTTTGAGCAGTTAATATGGATTTTGATCTGACAACGATTTCCATGGACCTAGGTAAACAAATGAATAATCTGGTGAGTATTTCACTAAAATGTATCTACTAGGCAAATATAAGAGTGTCTTTCATACACCGAGATGAGTACAGTTTAACCGTTTCCAAAATTTCGGATAGCCGTTTAAGTATTTATGTATCTATTTTTAAAAAGCTGGTGGCTTCATTCAATTCAATAACTGCTAGAATATGATGATAAAATTCTTAACACGCGGTGATTGTCCGCAAAAGCTATGGGCTTTTTTGACAGCAATTTTCTTCCAAACGAAATGATTATACCTCGATTATACCCATTTGCTGTCATGAGAAGAAAGATTTATCCACGAAGAACAGACGAAAAGGGTGTCTTCTTGTATTACCTAAAGTCAGAAACTGTTAGCCCCGTCCCTTTTCTACGACACACCTTGAAACCTTTTTTCACTTGTTACAAAAGTCGAACAAATGCGTGAATAAAGGGACGCCTTACCTTCAATTTTTTCAATTTCGTGAATGATATCTCTTCTATGCACATCGTGAAGTGCTTCTTTCAATATCTGAACAGTGGCACGAGGTCCCTCTATTTCCTGCCATGTCTTCAGCACTTTGTAACAAGCGTCAATTACTCCATTCTTTTCGATATCTATTATATCAAGTTTGCTCTCATCTAAATTCAAATGTCTGCCAAGCCTTTTCCACTCTGCAGCCGCATTTTCTGCCACTTTCATAAGAATCTTCCTGTCTATCAGGGGCTGTTGATTCCCTCCATAACTATTTTCTGCATTAAATAAAGAAGTAAGACTTTGCTACCGCAAAATAGATAGCACGAAAAGCAGAAATATAACATACTGAGGTAGCATTGGCGTCAAATCTTGATTGGCTGCGAGAGGATCGCCAAAATGGGAGTCCCTATCAATTTGATTTGGTTTCTTCTCTAGCCACTTGATAACGAGTACATGCTCGAAACGTCATGTTTTTAACAATCAAACTATTACATTTTCATTCTGGTACTAAATTTATTTGCTAACTTTATTATCGTTATTCAAGATTTGATGCCTATGCTTACTGAGGTACTTTTTAACTGACATGACTGAGTATAAACATCGGATAACATCCAAAGGTAAGCAGAAACGCTATATCATGATGTGGATTGGATTGAAAGTAGCTTGAGAAGGACACGCTTGATCGGTTCCTTATTAGAGAGAAAACAAGGCAGATATACCAAAACAACATTAAGAAGATTGAGAAGAGAGCAATTGAGATTGTTTTTGGAGCACACCATAATAACCACCGCACCTGGCGATCATTCGCTTCCATGAGACCAATTCAATGTGCAGATTTCGTTTTCAATGCTTAAATGGAACAGCTCCTGATGTCTTCTATAACTATTTTACAAAATATGAACACAAAATAGCAACAAGAAATAATGATAGAAACTTCTGGATGCCAAAAGTTAGAATTGAAAGTGCAAAGTAAGAGGTCTATTACAGAGGAACAAAAATCTTCAACCATCTCTTCTGAAAAACTGAAAATTTCATATTTTTTTCAAGAAAGCTTTGAAGGAAAATATTATGGCCAAACTTATTGTAATTGAAACGAGAGGATTTATTATTAGAATAATTGACCAGGCGAGGAGATTTTCAAACTCTTAATTCAGTAAATCAAACAAAATTATGAAAATCTTTGCCCAAGTAGCCTTATCATAACACTCTCCTTGTTCAATATGCAAAGTCTAGTTGAAAATTAAGGCACTTACAGAGACTAAATGAGTTAAAGAGGTAAAAGGATGTTAGATATGCACTCTGGAAAATTAGATTCTACAAAGGCCATCTATTTTTAACTCATCAAATTGATTGAATAAAAACAAATATTACCATTATTTTCAATTCCCAGAAGCTTATTGTGAAGTTGCTCTTTGCCAATATCCATCAGCAAAGTTGCAATCAAGTCCACTCCCTTCCCGCCAGTAGCGTCTTGTTCTCCAATCTTTTTAAACAGCTTTATCACACTATCCACGCCTTCTAGCTCACCTGCTCCTAGATGTTCATCATATTCACAAATAAACTTCATGCTATCCAAATCTTTCTTTGTAAGATATTTGTCAATTTCCAAAAGAAGCTGTGGTTTAACCTTTCTATCTGCCATTTTTTTCTAAAACTTATAAAAATCATATAATGAACGTCAGAGCTAAAACACCTTAAAACAGAATTTCACAAGTCATAAACTAGCAGCTACAATAATTTGCAAACATAGTATAAAAGTTTAAGAATGACCCAATGTTGAAATAATTTGTTGAAGAAGACAGAATCAGAGTTCAAAGGCTTTGATTGTGTAATTTTTTTAGGGACAGAGAGGAATATTACCCAAATGTGTAAACTACTACAGCCTCTAAGGAATCAAAGTTGCGAGTTGCATGACATGATGCTCACAATGATGCAAGTTTTTGGCCATAAATCAAAATGGGAATTTTCAATTAAAGTGAAATTCTTGCCAGTGTGAATCAGTTTTATATGCTTTGTTATTTAACTCTTTGCACAAAGAGCAAATAATACAATCTGAGTTTCTTGATATAAAAACTGGTCCAGGAAACAGGTTTTCTCTTATTTCCAGGCCTCTTAAAAATCATCAAAAAAGTAATGATTAACTCTTTCAACATATCTAAACCCTATTTAAACGTAAGACATTATTAGCAACAAGTCAAATTTCAAATGATCAACATTTTCAACACACTCCAAAAAACTCAATTATATTTTTGAAGCTTTGCTTTACAACAAACCCACTTTCAAAACTGCTTAGATTTCTAGAGCTCTGCTAGTTTGCTAATCTACAGTGCAGGACTTGATGCATCTCTGAAAACAGAAGAACATATACTTTAAAAGATTAGTTAAAACTTTGTAATAATCTATTTGGATGTTTGTGTCCTAATTTTTTTAGCCGTTTTTAGAAAGCTTGCCTTGAATCACTAAGGAACATCCTTTTTCAAATTTTAAATAGCACCTTAGCAACATAGACAAAGAAAAATTGCTTTAGAATACGAAGCCAATATGCCTCTACCTTATCTTGATGTAATGCATTATGAGAAGACATCAAAGTTGTGGCTATTCTAGTCAGGCAGTGCCAAAGACTGATAATTAAAGCAGCATAGATAACTGGCTTTTTGCCAGGTGAACTACAAAAATGTTGTCTTGTTATTTGGCTGAGCTTTATCAAATGCATGAATTTTTTTTTAAAAGTCATCAATTGTTCTAGTCTGCATAGGATTACAAAAGTATACAGAGATGGATAATACCCTGTTGACAAAGAGAAAAGATACAGGAAAACAATTTTTTGTATGTACCCAGTGCAGACATAAAACTAAACTCATAATTAAAATGGAAACATCAACCTCTTCTGCAAATCTAATGCTAAACTTCCTGCAAGTTTCTTATTGTTTTCAAATTACAACTTTGTAACAACAATTGTTGAAGCAAGAGGACAAACACGATTGCTTGTTGTTACAGATTGAGAAAAATCATGTGATGTTTTCCTTTTTTGGAAATCATCAACTGAACTCTCTCACTCGCTTTAACCAGTAAAGTGAGAATCTTTACTTCAGATAGCTAAAATTCTGGGTTGAGGGACAGTGTGTAGGTCTGAAAATTGTTTTTTGCTTGTCTTTATATTTGTTCTTTGGTTCATACAGTAGATCGTGTTTAGAGTCAGAGAAAATATGGTAAGCAACTCCAAGTGGATTCGATTGTAACAAATTAAATCTTAACAAGAAAGGTTGAAAGTTGTATACATTCAAGTTCATCAAGAAATTAAACAGATCAAAAATTGAAATTAAACAAATTGAACAGTCAATGATGACCAGCCATAGTACCTACAATGATTAGCAGGCAACATTCCCGGTAACAAACCCTCTGGAGTAGTCTACAATCACTGCCAAAATTACTTGGAACACCCAACAATTGGCGCTGTGCTATTCTATTTTTCATTTGTTTTCCCAAATACTAATACTTCTGTCCCCCTTTCCCCCTAAGACAACGTTGAAAGTATAGAAAAATATCAAACAAGCCACAAGAAAAAGCATACGTAAAAAGCTATAGTAAATCAACATTGATTGTATAGCCATAAGCCATAGACAGTCGCTAAGTTCCTGGATGTCATTTTTCAGCTTCTTCTTATAAAGTTGTTCTTTTCACTATAAGAATCGTGCAATAAAACTGTTCTTACATAAAATAGCGCAGAGTAGCTTAGCAAACATTTTCGAAGAACGCAGTCATTGGTATTCCTTTTTCTCCCACTAATTCTTAAGATTTTTCTCAGTAGCACCACATCGATCAAGACGAATCAGAAGGAGTTCGTGAATCAACAACCGAATCAACTTTTCAAGGATCAAGCATTCATAACTAAGCATATTCATTTTGATGGTAACGTTTAAACCATGAAATGTATTTTCAAATAGTTTTTTTTCAACTTACCGTGCTCCTTTCAAACAAACTCTTCAGTATAGGCTTTGCATTCCCTCATTCCCTCAAACCAAACTTTCTGAGAATTCGGGTTTCGATCCAAGCCTCGATTCCATATGCAACGCAGAGGCTACACGAAGCAAAATGCGCACTTTCGGAAATCATGTCCATGCCACAGAATTCTGGGCCGTTTAACAAAATATGAGTGCAAAGCCCCACCTCCCGATCTACAGGCACTAGTTGAAATCATTGTTTACAGATCAGTGTCCAAGCAAAACACAGACAAAAATTTCTAGAAATTGAAAAATATGTTGCAGTTTGCCGGCCGGAAGGTACAGGCGCAAGGGGCGAGCAAGATAGGATCTCAGAATTATAGCTTGAAATAGTACACTTTCCCGATTGTCTATGGTTTAACCTGTGTATCATTTTGTAAAGTAAGTTTAGGTTTTTTTACCTCTATCCAAAAAGCTGTAAATAAACTAAAATTCGGAAACGTTGGTCTTTTCTATGGCCCCGAGGCCGCGTGAGAGCATTATAAGCAGGATCGAATGTCGATACATTGATAAACGGAAAAAACTGCCAAAGAAGTAAGACAAATAATGGAAAGAGTTGATTCTAGCCTAAAAGTCTGTGAAAAACAAATAGATGTGGCGTGGAAAGCCTTTCCCACAATGTAAGGACCAAAAGGTGAAACTTTTTGTCTGTGACGCATTTTTGAGAGAAGAGTAGCATAGAAAATGTCAATTTTGACACATGTCCAATTCAGTCGGAAACGAACAAAAGGCGCTAAATAAAGTGTCAGTATGTCAGTTGATACAAAACGAGATACATATTTTATCAAACAATTATGAAATATTATCAAAAGCCAAAGAAGACGCAGCATTACAGAGACCTATGCCACTCTACCTTTCTAATTTTTGTTAACTCAACAAATGCCCCAGAAGCCTAGAAACATCAAGTCTAACTTATTCAACCTGCTTGAAGAAATGCATAAGAATTGGTCTCAATTAGTTTCAGCTTTCCATGCACGCTGTTTAGCTTTATTTATGGCCATCTAACTCACCTAAGAGGCTAACTGCATGTTTGTTGAAGTGACCTTAGAAAAAAAGACTACTATGAAGAAACAATGAAACAGCCGAATATCATTACAAGCAACGAGTGTGGTCAGGGGCGGTCTGGCCCGGGTGGCAAAGTGGCGATCGCCATCCGGGCCCTGTGTACAAAAAATTTACGGGCCTTTCCGCGTTGGAGAAAATTGTTTAACTTAATGTCAAATACTTAATACCCTAGACTGATTATATTGCGATTAAAGTCCAAATACATCGACACCCCTTATCAAAAGGGTAAAAGCTTGCCAACTGTGCATACCATGCACATTCAAAACTTTGTACAGACGCTCATTTATATTTTTTTTATATATTTATATCTTTTATCATATATAACAATTTTATAAAAATATGATCATCAAAACTGGTCAAAAGTTGAGATCAAATTAGGAACAAGCTAAGGCTGAGTTACTGTTTAATGCATTTTTGAACAACAAATTTATCCCAAAACGAGGATTTCAAGCCATATGTGGTTGCTTTTCGGTGAATATTCAATCTTATCGTCAAATGAAGGCTGTCTCACTCACTTTGTTGCAAAAAAATGCATGAACACCTCCCAAGAGCGAAAAATCTAGCAATCGCACTGCTTATACCCTATTATATTAAGAACAAATTAAGGACAATCCACCCTCGGATTTTTGTGAAAATTAAGAACAGTCAACCTGAACCTAAATTTACTGGTTTTTATAAAAAAATTAGTGAATACAACATGCACCTAGCAGCATACCCTTCCCTCTACAACGCGTATAAATGCTTGATGACACTTAGCTGCACCCAAGTTTCCTTTGAAAGATTATTCAGCGCTGCTGATAATTTCAAAAGTAGAGAAATCTTTCACTTGATTACGAGCAAGTAATTGGCCAATTTGCTGATTCATTTGCACTTCTTCGAAAAGAGTTGAAACTCTGAGAATTTAAATAAGTTTTGATCTTGATTCTTAACTCTACATGGGATTTTAAAGCCTCTTTACACGAGAGGAAAGGTATGGATCCAATTGGGTCCGAATTTACTAATTAAAGTCGATATACTGCTGCTGTTTAGCGTATTGCTTTATTATCAATTTTTATTGAATCAGTCGTATTCTAAGCCACATTTTTAGTGGGTTTGGCTCAATTTTTCCCGCCACGCCCTAAACCATGCTTGACTTTTCTAGCCACCCTGCGATTTTGACGTCAGACCGTCCCTGAGTTTGGTTTTGAAATAGTTTAAAAATATCAATGATTATATAAATCAAAAATTGGTTACCATATCTAGATTCTGTTATTAATATCCCAGCATTGAATTATGACCTATTTTCGGCTTTTCTGGAGTTTGGCCTAGATATTTCATAGCAGTTTCTGTAAACAAACAAAGAAAAAGTAACTAAATCACATCTTTGTACAAATGTGTTAAGAAATTTATGCATTGAGTGGCTAAACATTGTTGCTGGATCCGTTTTAAAACAGATCAATCATTATTTTCTGGAATTTCGACGAGACAGAAAACACCACAGCAAGCACCGCGACTGTAAATGCTTGGAATTTGCGAACGACGGCTTATTTTTCCAATATTAAAATTAATTCATAAATTTAAGTGCAATATAAGGCCACTCACCAAATTTCACATCGATATTCGAAAGAGAAGTGAACGAAATAAATCCTTACTTTTACCAAATTTATAAGGGCTCGGTATGGAGCAAGTTCCTTTTTACCACTAGTCAAAATGGTGGAAGTAAACAGATGTGCCTCACAGCGGACCTGTAAGTTAGACATCTAGCGCCTTCGGCGCTTCTATATCATTAAATGTACTGCTGCCACTATGCTTTGTACTCTGTAACGTATAAACCATTGTGAAGTAAAGAAAGCCACTGACACCTCAACCTATAAAGCTCCGTACAAACAACGTGACAACGTGTATAAACCAGTATCTTTTATTATCGTTTACGCTACACCCCTTCAAAGCTGTGTCCTATCTATCCAAAAGACCTTTACTACTAGTTTTCGTGCATTTATGTTCTGCATTTGTTTAGTTGCCCCAAAAGAACAAGTCGAGCAAAATAGTAGGGAAATAGGTCTTCTGGTGTCAATAAATCCTCTCCAAAGTATCAAATGACCAACACAGTTCAAGAAAAATGAATTCCAAATATTGCCAAAGCACAGTGTCGCTTGGCATTTCCTCAAACGTAGTTTTTATACATTTTCGTTTTGTTCATCAGCTTAGATTTGTTTAAAAGGCAAGTCCATCCGACGCGAGTCGGTCTCACTTGTCCGGTCTCACTTGTCCTGGCTCCCCCCTCCCCCCCCCTTCCCGAAAATTGTAGGAATTTGATTTGCATTCTATATATGTTAAATCACTTTTAAAAAACCCCTTACGTTTTGCGAACATTTCCAGGATACGATTGTACTCAAGAATGGAAATAACCTCAGAAAAATTGGACTGTCAATGAACTTTTTTATTTTATCTATATTCTTCTGGTTAAAAATTGTTTTATTGACATGACTGAAATTCATTACAGGGCCCGTACTGCCGATTCTAAACATGGATGGGAAGGGGCAGCAAAGCAGAGAAATTGCTGGCGCTGTTGATTCTTATTCGTCGGATTTGTTTAATCCGTATTAATACAGGTTTATTAATACGAAAATTTGGGTGAATCCAAATCATTTACTTGGCAAAACGTTGGGGATCAAGGTCTTTTTAGCCCCTCTCGCCCAGTGTCGTGGGCCCTGATGCAGAAAACTCACTTCTTGATTTCAAAACCTTTAGAGATCGATGTAGAGAATAACAAATCTTCAAATTTATTGATCGACAGAAAATACAGAATAGATGGACACCTAAAGCCATTTTGCACAAAATTCAGTAAGTGTTAGATTAAGGAATGGGACACTGCTATAGTGCACCCTAATTCTACCTAATTTATATAGACGAATTCCTCGAAAACATCTATTTCTTGCCTGGCTTAATCGAAAGATACAATTTTCCATCGATGTGTTGTTTTTCTGGGCCTATCCTCTTCAAAATAGCTGCGATGGTGCTCACAGTTTGCTCCTTAGTGAGGCCGGTTTTTTTGGTTTTGAACTTTCTTACAAGATCAGTAGTTGTCATCGGTTTGTGTGCAAGATAACGTCTGATTGTTGACTCCGTTATAGCCAAAGGTTCTTTGCTACTGTCACTGGCAGCCATCGATTCACCTTCACCTGGCTTCTTTCCTTTCTTTCCAGACATATTGGCTAGAATGAGACGATTATTATTGAGAAAAAATTACTTTTTGAAAGAAATATGATTACAGTCCAATTTGAACTTTTTTAGAAATAAGTCACATCTCAATTTTGGGAATTTAGTAACCTTTCCTGAATAGGTCTACGTTTTAAATATCTGTTATTGTAATCATATGTTTACTGTTGTTTGAATATAACCTTTAATTACTAAATTTAGGGACAAGAAATATGCAATGGGCTCTTTAAGTCTGGGCACATATACAGAAATTTCAAATGAGGAGCAATGGATTACAGCCTGATTATATGAGGTTAGCTGGCTTAGGAAACAGGCTGGCTCGGGAAACGGTTCAGTTAACTTGCATAGTCTATTGTACAAAAGAAATCAGTTGCCATTACAGGAAAATGGGCCAGTCCGGTAAGCGAGCTGAAAATACGCAATGGAAAACGCACATTTTGTTCTCATGGATGTGTCAAAAGTATCAAAATAGCTGACAATATTAGTAGATTTGTTGTTGCTGCTGGTGTTGCTGTGAAACTTAGAGCATAAGCCTCCGAAGGAAAGTCTTAACACCTGTGGCTATATTGATCGGTAGATATTTCTGATAAATTTCTACAGCCTGTATTCAAGATGAGAGCCCTTTTAATTTTTGCACCGCCTTTCCCGCCTTTTCACGTAATGTGCTGGCGTATATAGCTGTGTTGGCCAACTTGGTCGCGACTGCTCTTTTTATACGTAATACCAATACGAGCTCATCTACCAGGCCAGCCCACTTCCATATAGTCAGACCCTAAATTTTGAACTGAGAAAAGCAAGCAAAACGATTTTCTTGTTACTGAAGAAATCCCCCCCCCCCCTTACAGAAGATTCTTGCATATTATTCAGTCTGAATAGCTTCTTTTAGTGAGGGTTGCACGGATAATGAGGCTTTATATGTTTTTGAGTTTTTCTTTGTTCGTTTCATGATCGATACAATTATGTTTTCAGCGTTTTGTTGAAAATTATAATCTTTATTCTTGAATAAACAACTTTTCCGTATATGCTACAAATATTTTCCGTATAAATATGTAACATTAAAATAAATCCAATCCTTGTGGTTTTGTTCTCTCATCTTCAGTACAATCTACATGAAACATTCCGGTTTCTCAAACAAATTTGAAAAAGCCTTGACTTTTAATTTTAGCGATCTGCAAATAACAACCTATTGCAATTTTTAGGCCAAATTGGTTCTTACCAGATGGGGGCCTAATTTCGAACTCCAGCCAGTAGAATTCTAACAAGTTTCTTATACGCGAGTTTTTACTAAAACTATGACAATCATGTCACTATAAATTGCACTTCAAACATCAAATGAAATAGATTCTTTCTTTGATTCCTATGAAATTTCCTCCTTTTCAAATTTGCAAACTTTTTTCCGTTAATTAACATGATGTGGAAAACGTAATATAAGTTCTTGCAGTTGCTATTGCGAAAAAATCGAACAAAATTTTAATACCTAGCGATTTATGTTGCATCTTCTCCTTTTTGCTTGGCGGTGTATCATCAAGGACATCCTTGCTACTTGGTCGTTTGCGAGATAATGAGTCTATAATGCAAAAACCAATTAGCAATACTTTAATAAGCAAGGCCCATAGCTCGATAGCACTTTCAGTTTTTTCTAAGAGTTCCAAACAACAACTAAATCTATTATATGAGGTTATTATACTACTGTCCTTAAATTAGCAATTATTGCTATTGATTGAGATTTTAAAACTGTAATGTAAACGTTATCATAATTAATTGTTATTAATTAAGATTAAAATATATAAAATTGAAAATCTAAAATTTTACGTATATGTATTCAAAAATTTAACTTAAATTTATCGTTGCTTGAAATGAATGACATTGAATTGAAACATAAAAATTATGAATTCTTAGATATTTGGCACTTGCTAGTAGTCACGTTTACTTTAAATCACATTCCTTCGTTTCTGCTTCTAAAAGTCCTATCATCAGAACTTGAGAGAAATTCGTTTTTATTGGGTTCGATTGGAGTACAATAGACGCCAGCTGAGTACAGAAGATAACAGTAGATTACAGCGAAGTACATTGGGCTACATTCCAGGTTTATCATTGGGTTACAGTGAAGTACATTGGGCTACAGTCCAGGTTTATCATTGGGTTACAGCAAAGTACATTGGGCTACAGTCCAGGTTTATCATTGGGTTATAGCGAAGTACATTGGGCTACAGTCCAGGTTTATCATTGGGTTTCAGCGAAGTACATTGGGCTACAGTCCAGGTTTATCATTGGGTTTCAGCGAAGTACATTGGGCTACAGTCCAGGTTTATCATTGGGTTACAGCGAAGTACATTGGGCTACATTCCAGGTTTATCATTGGGTTTCAGCGAAGTACATTGGGCAACATTCCATCATTGGGTTTCAGCGAAATACATTGGGCTACAGTCCAGGTTTATCATTGGGTTATAGCGAAGTACATTGGGCTACAGTCCAGGTTTATCATTGGGTTACAGCGAAGTACATTGGGCTACAGTCCAGGTTTATCATTGGGTTTCAGCGAAGTACATTGGGCTACAGTCCAGGTTTATCATTGGGTTACAGCAAAGTACATTGGGCTACAGTCCAGGTTTATCATTGGGTTATAGCGAAGTACATTGGGCTACAGTCCAGGTTTATCATTGGGTTACAGCGAAGTACATTGGGCTACAGTCCAGGTTTATCATTGGGTTTCAGCGAAGTACATTGGGCTACAGTCCAGGTTTATCATTGGGTTACAGCGAAGTACATTGGGCTACAGTCCAGGTTTATCATTGGGTTATGGCGAAGTACATTGATTAGCTAAGAAAAGAATCGCTAGCAACACCCAAATCTTGATCGAGAGTTATATTGTCTGTCTTATACACTGTCTTATATTCTACTTCCAATAATAATACATGCCCTTTATCTATTTTAAAGTTGCAAGAAAACTAAAAAATTAAAAAAAGTCATGAAGACCACCCAAGCTTTAAATCGTCTATAGCAAATAAACTTATTCACAAGAAAATTAATACTTGATATAAAATATCATATTCAGAATATACAGAACCTTACCAGATTTCTTTTTGCTTCCATGCTGTGTTGGAGTTGACCTGTTACTGACATCTTTCTTTGATTTTGCTGAAATTAACAGAATCAAAAAGAACTCAAAATTATGACTTGATAAGGACAAATAAGAGAACGGAACTAAAGCTTTATTGAAATTATATATCAAAACATCGATGTACTAACCATCTTTTGATTTGCTTGCTGATTTTGACGTTCCTTGTGCAGCCTCACCTTGCATTGTGGGTGTAGCAGATCGACTACTTGAACTTGAGCCCGATACACTTCCAGAAGCACCAGGCTTCTTTTTCTTGCCATCGTTCCCTAACGTAAAGCAAAAGATGGCACCTGAAAAATTACGTCCAGCAAAGACGAATGAGAAATATTTGCACTGCAATAACCATAACCATTAAGCTAAAAAAAACCACTGAAAGAGTTGCAGTGAAAAATTTCTTATCCCACACTGCTCAGGGAATCTGACCTTAAAACATTAATATTTCACTAAGCGACCAACCTTGCATGAAAAGAGCCGATTTTGAGTATTTTTCGTCATCGTCTATATCCTCATCTTCATCCGAGCTACTCTCATCGTTACCTTCTTCCCGTTTAAGAATCTCCTTTAGTTCTTTCCCTGCTGACGTAAGGCCTTCTTCTGTCTCCTCCTCCTCTTCAGAATCGCTGAGCGTGAACGCATTCAGATCATCTTTGGCCTTCGTTCTTCTGTTAGTTTCAGGTTCGGGTTCGTCTTCCAGCAATGTTGCCTCATCATCTGAAAGAGACCGTAGGTAACATGAAATGGCTGGATACGCTACGTCCTTGATCGGATAGTTTGCTAGTGAAATGAGGCTCAATCATAACCCCAAATTGATCTAGGGGCTGATTGACGGCTTGTCAGTACATTATGTATCAATTATGGTAAGGATCCTACAAATAACAGATCAATAGTGTGATGGATGGGTGTTTTTCAATAGCCACCAATCGTTATTTTTTAAGCAAAATTGCTGTATACCTTTTTCCAAGATACTACTAAAACAAAATTGACTCATGGCTTCCACAGTATTGCTTTGTGTAGGGATCATGCAACGGCAAACGGAATGGCTCGAGACCAAAGTTCAGAAAACGCCTCAGCCTTCCTCCAGATGAAATTCTCATTTGCCTTCCTCAGAAATTGTATCTTTTTCAATAAAAGTTTCACAGAACAGGAATTTTAGTAAAATCATATATGGCTTGGTCTTTACGCTGTGCCAGGAACCAAAAAAGCACTACGGTAAATTCTTCTTTTATGTACTTTTGTCAAGTTATGCATTGGCTCACAGCCGTGGAGCCGTAATGTCTTTATGACTCTGATCGAGCCTAGCAGGTAGAGACAGAGCTTCTCATAACTACAGCCTAAACTTCAATTCTTGCTTTAGAAAATTGAAGCCTTGCTGAAAATCCTTAGCCTTTTTCCTAGCCATTTTCACTAGTCATCAAAATTCAAACCCCGTATTCTGAAAAGTGCCTCCTATACATGTGGTCTGAGACATCAGATAAGCAAAAACATGTGGTAAGATAAAACCGTTATTTAAATGACATCATTAAAACCTTCCAAACCATTATCCGTCTAGCTTTGAGATAATACAATCGACTTTCTCTTACCTGTAGACGACTCTGACATGTAGTCACATTCTTTCGATTCGAAATTATCGAATTCCTCTTCTTCATCGGAGTCCTGCTCGTCATCGTCTTCTGTACTCTTCTTTTTCTTGCTTACATACTTGTCTTTCTTCTTGCCCTCTTTTCCTTTCTTTTGCTTGCTGTCTAGATGGACAATAAAACTAATTTTAGTTAATCGCAATCAAGTAACCAAACATAGCTAGGGAAGACGATTCTCCTTTGCACATACTTCCCGGGTTATCGGTTTAAACAGCCTTTATTTTGAACTTCCTGGGGCAAAACATTCAAGTTTTGAGATAAAAATATGATCTGCCGTTCCAAAGCTCCAATAATTTCCACTATAGCTGGCCGTCGGCCACAGAGCTAGTATGATCTGTGTTTAATCGTCAAAGAAGCCGGAAAAACCATACCTATCTTTATATTTGAATGCAGTTCTGAAATTAATGAGCAAAAGCGACTCTTTCCTGCATCATAAATCTACATTCCTGCACAATACAGACAACAAATTTTCTCCTAGCTAGTGATTTGAATCATCATTCTTTTGATAAACACTTTAACCTACTCCGGCTTGCAAAAATATCAGTTCTTATCTTCGTCACACATCTCATTGGCTATAAAAAGTATAAACTTTGGTATAGGACGAGAGCCTTGTGAAATAATTCCAATAAAGTGGATACAATAAAATCAGCGAAATGGTGCAAACTATTTGTGGAGTATGCACACAACCTATACGTTGTTGTTAGCGTCTATAAAAGATTTTTTATTCATGCAGTGTATTCGCTCTATACTACACGGAACGACTTCACAACTCAGTATCTAGCGTAAGAAAAACAATCATTTTATGTCACCGATACGTTTTAGTAAGCTGGTATTACTGTTGTAGAATTATAATATGTTTTGATATTAGTCCAGTTAGTGCTTGCAGTACGTTTCTATGTTATAAAGGATTTGTATCTTAACTTCATATAAACTCTAAATGGAGATTATGATACCATTGAGGTTATAATCGCTCTTGATGTAAACTGCATACCTGTAGTATTATCTCCACTATCTGCCGATTTGTCACTGCGGACATCGTAATCATCATCAAAATCGTCGTCATGAATAACCTGAAAATTGAATTCAAATAGTAAAAAACCTCTGGCATACCAACAAAAACTTGGCATCGTAAAAGCTCCGTGTTGCCTTAATATTTCTATAGAAAACTTGCAAATTCTCAGTACCTACTGCTCAGTTATATTCTGTTCCATTCTCCCGCAAGTTAAATTGTTGCAGGAAAATTAATCTGTTGGCTGTTTTATTGCGCTGTATAAGACAGTTCTTCAAAAAGCTTTAATGAACTCATGTTACCTAGAAACTTGTCAATTTATAACGAAAATTTCTCTCCGGAAATTAAACCATAGCAACCAATCGATCACGTCAAATTTTCCCATTGTTTTCGAACAGAAGACCATTGTTCTTCATCATTCAATTAAATTATGACAAGAGCTTACCAGGTCACCGCGATGCATGCTCTTTACTTTATCTCCAAGGAATGAACTATCGCCTGGTTCCCCGGCATCCTTTATTCGCTTTTGTAGCATCAAGTTGTGGTAATTCAAGGTTCGATCCCGCTTTGCAAACTCTTTTTCTACATCTTCATGCGACAGGGTGCTGTAACTGATAGTTGGGTTGAAGCTGTACCAAGCTTGAATTGGAACAGCTTCAAAGACCCCATCTGGTGATTGAGTCAAAATATAGTAAGCAGAGTTCTCAAGAATAGTTCCTTCTCTTTTACCTTTGAAACTGCAGGCAAAATATGAACTTTGTTTAATTTGATGCAACGAAAATACGAGTTTTAAACTAGGCCATGTAAACAGCTCTATCAAACAAATTCATGAGCAAAACTTTAGTTTGAATGCTTGAAATACTTGCACTAGTTCTGTCAGAATTTCAATCAAAGATTAATCTCAATTTATCATTTGAGGCACATTTGTGTGTTCTACACTCAAACATATAAATATTTTCAGGCAATAATATGGAAAAATCACATATACAATGATAATATATTAAGGGCGAAAAATGCAGTACTTTCATCAAGATTGGGTTAGCAGCATATCAAGCTCTATGCAATATATTTACTTATCAATCAAAGTTGTTTGATTTACACTGTTTCATACATAGATATTCTAAACCAATAATTTCACCCTTGTTCTCATTTAATTTTATCATTGTAGAGGCCTTCAATGAATGCTGGTAATAATTTTATTACATGAAATCATGTAATCTTTCTAAAACTGTTCATTTAAGATTGCATTTGGCTCCCTTCAGGCCAACAAACGTTGAATCAATAACCAATTTTTCACATGGCTGCAATTCCTAATTCTGTTGCCAGAAATAACAAGAAAATTTTAATAGTTAAATATCAGAGCTATCTGAAAGGAATCAATAAACTGGACCAGACTTACACATAAATACACTGTTCTAACCAGGAGAGAGGATGCAGAATAAAATTTGCCTAAGAATTTTAAAAAAGGCATTAAAAATAAATTTTTGATACATACCTTTTGTTTTTTTTGCCACAAAGTTTTACTGAATACAACATATCCTCTTTTGTGACTTCTTTCTTAACCCTTCCTCTTCTCCGCCGCTTCATCTCCTCTTTCCATTCTTTGCCAAATTCACTGCCAGCCCCAGCTGATTGCCCAGCACTTGAATCATCATCCCCTCCAGTTGGGGCATGTCTTGATATATAGGCCTAATGCACAAAACGGGTTAACTTACATTTTACTATAAAGAATTCTAAATAACTTTAACAGTAATATACTATCAGTTATCTAAAGAGGCCACTTTTAAGACTGCATAAGACACAAAAATATAATGGTTTTGACACAACAGCTCGTTGAAATTAATCAACAAGGGGGGGGGTTGCTTCTTGTGTAAACATTATGATGTCATACCATGAAGAACTACTAGAAACAGAGATAAAAAGAACTTCACATTTCACATCATTTGTGGTACTTACATCAGATATTTCTCCAAAATTAACAGGCCTTGGTGCGTTTAGCTTCATGACATAGTAATCTTTAACAAGTTTCCTAAAAGTGAATTAAAACACATTATAAAAAATATCTTGTTCAAAACACAATAATAAAAGAAAATGCAAAATAACTGTGCTAGCAGATAGGGATCATTGTTTAAATGTGGCTAAAACTGGTTCATACATTGTGTTCAACTGCCAAAGACTACTTACTATACATGGCTCCAAAAATAATTTTCTTTCTGGGAACTGACTACACAAAGAAAAATATACTGCTGGGTGAAGGCACTGCACGTAATATTCCCATAAACATTCTACACTATGCGCTCACTATGAGCTCTCGTTCTGGCTTTAATTTTTACTTTCTGTGATTGGTAGTTTCTGATACATTTTATTTATCTAAGTTGTAGTAGCCAGGGATAGAACAATATATTACATACCAGCAAAAGGAAACTTTATATTTTGATGCTTTGATGAGCAAAAAATAAATAATATTTCTTGTCAAAGATAAGTATATTTTCTTCCATGTGATCAATTTTAAGATTCTCCTGGTATGAAAAGTTTTATTCTGGTGAAAAAATTTTGCCAACTCAGAGCATTTTCTGTGAACTTAATTCTTGAATTCCAATACCTTTTGCACCACTGCGGTTTAATCAACTTAAATGCAGAATTAAAGGCTGATACTTTACCTTGGCACTCTTAGCTTATACTCCACAGCATTCTCAATTTTCGGTGTATTCATTTTTCATGTGATCTACAATGAAGTAAACAATGAATATTGCATATCTTCACCTATATTATTGCCAGCCCCATCAATCAGAAAATGCAGTCATAAGGTTGTTATGCAGGCTTCGAAATCATTTATAGTATAAATGTGTGACAAAAAGCAAATATAGATTCTTAGAAATTAAATTCAAAGTTCGTCTTTTACTGTTTTCCAAATGATTTCCACTGAATGGATTTTCTAAATTCTCTAGGTATATCTTGAGATAACCTTTTAAGTATATGCAAGGATTTGATTTGATGGAATGAAAATTAAGAAGAATAGGCCTAGACAATAGTCAGCAACAAACTAACGTTATAACATGACGACGAGAATATGGTGAAATAGAATTTTAAGATAAACAAGATTTAATAAATTCTATAAGAAAACTCTTTCTGACATAAAATAAATAAATTAGTGATCTCAATCTTACCAGTTGAAACAGAAATGTGATGATACTTGCTTCAGTCCCGCTGATGGTGTGACCTTGACATTTTACCATTTTATGGTTTCGTAGTAACCATTCTGTAACAGCCTCATATTGAAAACATTTCTTGTCAATCATTGGTTCTTTTTTGTTATTTTTTTATTCTTACTGTTATTATTCAAACAAAACTAATATTAAATTATCGTCATTTCGCGTCAAACTGGGCACATGGCTCTGATAGCTCCTTCGTGAGTTTTTTTTCCATGTGTCCATCAGCTGATCTTGTATAATATCTTATGTTGTTCCCTGTAATGTAATCTTTATTGTTATTAATGATTGTATCTTAACAACTAGCATGACATATCTTGTAATAAATTGATTTGTTGCTGAAAAAAAGTTTTTGATTTGATTTGATCGATTTCTTGTCCAATGAGGTCAATAATATTGAAGCGTCGAAGGCGCTAGATGTCTAACTCGGGTCATGCTGCGTACTGCTGAGTGAGGCAAATTTGTTAACTTCCGCCATTTTAAATAGTGGCAAAAAACGAGCTGCAATAGGGTTCAGTATGGAAAATTGCTTGTTTTAATGAATGATTTTCTCGTGGCTCACAATTATTTCAGTGCCTTTTCTGATGCAGGTAGTTAGAGGAGATATAAATCAACAACACATAACAATTTTTCGGGGTTTTTAAAGAGAATTTTAAAAATTATGGCTCTTTTAGTTTACGCAGTTACGGGGGGAATATGGCAGTGGCTTGTCGTGTTTCTATGAGTTGAAAAAGTATGTGTTTCAGGGCCGTAAATCCCGGGGGGGGACGGGGGGGACTGGACCCCCCAAAAATCTGGAGCAAAACGATTCTTTTGATAAATTATCATCATTTTCTTTGAAAGAAACAAATCTCTGGTAGCCGGGTTTGAACCAATTACGTTTTTATGTTTTATTGCAACAAATATTCAGCCACTAAGTCATGGTGTCAAGTGCAAGTTGACTTATGCTGATAGCCGTTATTTTTGTAAGCAGAGTGATTTTTATCTGTTTCTTACCATTTTTTACCGTTTTTTTAAAACAGAATATGAAATAAAAAGAAAGCAAACTGATATTTTATTTGACCTATTTACCAACTTATTTACGCATATTTCTATTATTTGTTTATAATTTGCTTTTATTTAGTAAATCACTTTCTGTATCATTAGAATGTATTCATTTTTGATGTGTAAACATGGCCTACTTAAAACACTCAAAATAAGGAAGACGCACATTTCTGTTCAGGAAGTAAAATTCTACCAATCAATACAACATCATCCCTACTTTCCTCAACGTCTGTCTCTAGAGTTTAAGCATGGCTTTTCCCCTACACAATTTCGCTCAATAAACAACAATTTGTGTTCTTCTGAGAAACGTTGAATTTTCTATCCTGAGTTATCTAGTATTTTATTAAATTTAGTCTGGAGGTGCTTTTTTCAGCCTTTCTAGAAGGCATAATTTCGACAATTTTCTTTTGCGTCGGACCCAACCATGGTGGGTCCTCCTACGTCACTAAACTTGATTCTAGCTCCCAAAGTTCATATCCGTGGGGCCGAAAATTTCATCTATCAAATTATACACACAAGTCAGATGTACTAAGTCTTAAGAAATCCCAAAATCTTGACTTTTGTTTTTTAAAAAAAGTTAAAAAAGTCATTTGCCCCTCGACTGTTTTCATAACACATACCATAAATTGCTTGGTGGTGCCATGAACCACGGCACACTTTAAATTGATTTGCTCTGCTGACCCCCCCTGTTCACATGACAGATTTACGGCCCTGATGTGTTTGCAATTTTTATCTTCATATAGAATAGAAAAAAACTTTTTAAGTCTATTACCAAATAATATAGACCATTTTAGATATATAATTCTTGAATTTTTCTGTCTGTCGTTTAAAACCTAATATGGCACGAGTAGGACAGTGCGAATGTTTTATATTTAGTTTGTCAAATTGAATTTGTAGAAAAGAAATTTGATATGAATCAAATTTCTTTCCTCTTGGTAAGGCCAAATTAGAAATCTTTGTCGTGAAAGTGTACCCCGAAGGTATTTTATAGGCCTAAAGATACGGGGAGGGACGCATTGTGCTGAAGAATAATTACAAGCAACGAGTGTGGTCAGGGGCGGTCTGGCCCGGGTGGAAAGTGGCGATCGCTTTACGGGCCTTTCCGCGTTGGAGAAAATCTTTTAACTTAATGTCAAATACTTAATGCCCTAGACTGATTATATTGCGATTAAAGTCCCAATACATGCGCTTCAAACCACCCAAACCCTGGTTTCCGTTATTTCAGCCATGTGTTCAATCTTACGTGTACCCTGGGTCCCAGAGCCACAAAATTTCGAGCGCGTAAACAGAATGCCCAGCAGAGAAGCGAATGAGCTTACACTTATCTTCTATTTCCGCTCTCTAATTTATGTGGCTCTGATGCCCAGGGTATCTGACTGTCAGAGAAAGTGCTGTGGGAACGAAATTCATATTGGGAGGGGAGGGGCGGCTGCTCATTGTATTTATTTCCACTTAGTACACTGTTATACAGGACATAAGACTTATGCTGCAATTATTTTGAGGGGGGCTTCAGTAAATGAAAATAACGTAAAATTCAAAACAGGAAATACAGAAGAGAGATGACAAGGGGTCGTCACTATCATCTGGTTACAGATATCTGTATCAGGATTTAACAATCTAAGAAGATTTGTTGATACAAAGAGGAAGCAAAAGAGCAATAAGAGCCTTTTTTCAAGATTTCAAGTTCATAGAATGTCAGAATTGCTGGCATTTGCAAATTGCTACCAGCAGCTTATCGATCAAGTGAAAACAACAACTGGTGGAAATAGAGATCCTGAAAACAGATGATCTAAAGGAACAAGCTCTTAGAGAAGAAACATAAGGAGAGGAAAACTTTGACTTTCAAGGTGGGGATTCACAAAGAGAGAAAAGACCCCAAAGTCGACATCGACACCCTTTATCAAAAGGGTAAAAGCTTGCCAACTGTGCATACCCTGCGCATTCAAAACTTTGTACCGACGCTCATTTTTATTTTTATATATTTATATATTTTATAAGAATATGAGCATCAAAACTGGTCAAAAGTTGAGATCAAATTAGGAACAAGCTAAGGCTGAGTTACTGTTCAATGCATTTTTGAACAACATTTTATCTCAAAACGAGGATTTTTAGCCATGTGTATTTTCTTTTCGGTGAATATTCAATCTTGTCGTCAAATGAAGGCTGTCTCACTCACTTTGTTGGCAAATAATGCCTGAACACCTCCCTTACACCCTATTAATTTAAGAACAAATTAAGGACAATCCACCCTCGGATTTTTGCAAAAATTAAGAACAGTCAGCCTGAACCTAAATTGACTGGTTTTTATAAAAAAAATTAGTGAATACAACAAGCACCTAGCAGCATACCCTTCCCTCTACAACGCGTATAAATGCTTGATGACACTTAGCTGCACCCAAGTTTCCTTTGAAAGATTATTCAGCGCTACTGATAACTTCAAAAGAAGAGAAAACTTTCCACTTGATTACGAGCAAGTCATTGGCCAATTTTCGAAAAGAGTTGAAACTCTGAGAATTTAAATAAGTTTTGATCTTGATTCTTAACTCTACATGGGATTTTAAAGCCGGTTTACACGAGAGGAAAGGTATGGATCCAATTGGGTCCGAATTTACGAATTAAAGTCGATATACTGCTGCTGTTTAGCATATTGCTTTATTATCAATTTTTATTGAATCAGTCGTATTCTGAGCCACAATTTTAGTGGGTGTGGCTCAATTTTTCCCGCCACGCCCTAAACCAGGCCCTTGAGTTTTCTAGCAACTCTGCGATTTTGACGCCAGACCGCCCCTGGTTTCGAAGCTACTTATATCTTGGCCATAGTGCCGGATCTCTCTCAGCCCGTCTCTTAATATGGTCTCTCTCGCACATTAAATTCTTGAAGCTTGGAGAAATCCATGGTACATGTGCATGCCCTGTCCTAGCGGTCCTTTTTTCAACGGGGCATGCACATCCAAGACAGCGAGAAAGAGATCGTAGAAATTGCTAGCCATCCTATTAGGGTCATCCGATCTATATGACATAGCCATCTCCCAGTCAATACTACGCAAGTCATTAAGGAAAGAGTCATGGTCATAATTTTTCAAACGGCGTGACTCTATCTTAAATTTCACATCATTGACAGGAACTCTAGCGTTTAATTTTCTAATACCGTATGTTATATAGTGGTCTGTAACACCGATTTTGACGAACGATACATTACAGAGGTTGTTGGGTCTGTTTGAAGAAAGGTGATCTATTTACAAAAAAGTTTTATTAGGCTCTTTATCTATCTTTTAGTTAAGTTAAGTGAGCTTCTGCTAGATGCCCAGAGCATCATAGGGCAACTGATAAATTATTACTGAATGTTTTGTCTTCGACAAGATCAAATTACGAAATTTACAGCAATGCTGACATTTGCAGGAGAGTTTTGATTTGGTTCTGGGCATTTTGCTTTGTTTTAAGTTTTGATAACAGAGTCTTTCCGATGGTTATACGAGAATTACAATACATGAACTCTATATCGAACTGACGAGGTAATTCACATTTTTTTAACAAAGCAGGAATCTGGGAAATCCGCAAATAGACATTTTCACAAATCCGAAAATTCAATACTGTACATTTTCGAAATCAATACTGTACGTTTTTAAATGAATACTGAACAAAGTGTGTAATACTGCATCTAAAATAGGCCCTGGAAAGAGCATTATCATTCAAGAAAGGATTATGCACAAATTACATGACAAAATATAGGCAACATTGGAAAAATCCTCTTCCCCCTAAATTATCACCTAATTTGCATCATTTATTGATCATTATGACCGTCAACATTTATGTGAACCCCCTCCCTCCATCTTTGATTAGGTAATATGTGAACTTCCCCATACCCAACTGCCAACACTTCGATAATCTTATCCAGATACAACCATTCTGAATGGAAATAACATAGGATTGTACTCAGTTAATGCTTCAAAAGTGAGAACCCTCTCAGCTATTCGATATCAGGCATTTGAAATAATTCGCATTAGTCATTAGTGAAGAAACTGATTTGCGCTTTTCATAAGTCTTGGTTAATCACAAGTCTTGGGCGTTTTTGAAGATATTGGAAAACCATTCCATAAATTATACAATTACGAGGAATTAGCAAAAACTGGTGGAAATTTGATACATCATTGATATAGTTTTTCTCAATTTAATGGTGAAGCTAAACTGAACTGTAAAATCTATGACGCCTAAACAATAACCACGGCGAACTTTTTATGCAAACGTTCTGTCGAGACGTCAATTGATGGTTGTAATCAATTTTAGTTCTGTGCGAATATTGATAATTGCCTTTTCAAAGTTCTTTGAGAAATATAACTCGAAGCAAGGGCGTACCGGGAAATTTCGCCATATCCTGGTGGGCCGAGGAGCGATGGGTGGAAAAAACTGTGGATAACTTTTCGCAGGTAGAAAGGCTAAAATTTGGTGTATGCTGCAGAGCAGTGAGAGATCGCTTCCAGAATATTTTCACCAACAAAAAGTCCAAAAATAGAAGAGAAGAAAGTGCAAGTGAAATTAATCCTGAGCACACAGAAAAACGTGTTCTCCTTGCAAGATAAGGGAGCTTTTTGATGCAGCAATTGCTGATCAGCAAGCAGCATCCCAGCAAGTTAAAGAAAGACAAACGGCAGAAATGGAAAAAGCTGAAGAAATGAGAAGGAAATCAGTAGAAACAATTGGAGAAAGCAGGAAAAGAAAGGAAGGGGACGTAAAAAATGTAAGTGAAAAGAAACGTAACATTCGGCAGAAAACCTTTCAAAATTATTCAAAAAAGAATCAGAGTTGGCTATTTTACTCAATCCGGGCTGACTCACAATTGCGTTTGGAAACCAAGTTTAGACCCACTTTCCGTTCAGAATACAAATTGAAGAGAGTTTACCTTGAGTGAACTCAACACAGGTTGAACCCGGGTAGCTTTTTGTAGTGTAAACCGGGCTTTCGATTGGAAATAATTTCACTTGCTTTCATTATTAAGCGTCGGGCGAAGAGTTCAAGTGAATTTTGTTCCACTTTTCCGAGGTATTTTGAACATTACTCATATTGTAATTTTCTAAATGTATTATCAGTCTTTCTATCAGTTCAATTTTGCGTAGACGCGACATGCTCAATGCATTCTAAATAACAGGTTACACCATTCAATATTTTCCTTTCTTGGGTACAGTTAAATTTTAGCTGTAAGTCAGCCCTATAAGATATTTTTATCCGATCGCAGTAGCTGCCTAAAAAATCACCATATATTTGAAACGCGCTGAAATCTGTAAGAATTGCTAGTTTCTATAGACTAAACACTGAAGCAACGAACGTCGTAGAGAAATCAGTTTTATTGATTTTCTTGATTACTTTGATAAAATATGAATAAAAATTATGGACGAAAATTTGCATTAAAAGAAGCATAAATCAAGGATTTTTCTGGGAATTCGAAGCTGGAGAAATCCCAAACGAGGCAGGCTTAAGAAGGTACCTTTCAGAGTTGTTTTAATGTTCGCAACTTATCAAAAGTATAATTTTCGCAACTTTAAATCTGCAAATATTCTTTGATAGAAAAGAAATTATGCTTTTTCGCTTTGCTCTCCTTTTCAAATGAATGTATAGCGAAGGGCGGGGGTTGTGAGAAGTGACGTCATTGGCAATATAAAAGAGGGGTTCAGAGAGATGGTGACACTGGGGCGCAGGGGGCCTGAAAATCTTTAAATAATAGGTGATATCGTTTATGTATGACCCTGTCATGAATGTCAAATGTCTTGTCTACACTATACTATCGTGGCCGGGAATGGCTAAGGGGTAGAGTGAAGCCAAGTAATTTTTTTTATGTAGTGCAAACATAAATATACCTACCCAAGGTTGATCTGGGATGATTTTTGCCCTGGCGGCCTAGGCTGACTCGCCGCGGGCTGACTCGCCGCGGGCTGACTCGCCGCGGGCTGACTCGCCGCGGGCTGACTCGCCGCGGGCTGACTCGCCGCGGGCTGACTCGCCGCGGGCTGACTCGCCGCGGGCTGACTCGCCGCGGGCTGACTCGGCCCGGGCTGACTCGGCCCGGGCTGACTCGGCCCGGGCTGACTCGGCCCGGGCTGACTCGGCCCGGGCTGACTCGGCCCGGGCTGACTCGGCCTGGGCTGACTCGGCCCGGGCTGACTCGGCCCGGGCTGACTCGGCCCGGGCTGACTCGGCCCGGGCTGACTCGGCCCGGGCTGACTCGGCCCGGGCTGACTCGGCCTGGGCTGACTCGGCCCGGGCTGACTCGGCCCGGGTTGACTCGGCCCGGGCTGACTCGGCCCGGGTTGACTCGGCCCGGGCTGACTCGGCCCGGGCTGACTGGTTGGTTTGAAATAATGTTTTGTTAACACGAAAGAGGGTTGAGCCATGTTAACTTTTCTACTGCGCATGCGGAATAAGGTTGTGAATTGAAAAAAGCGCCAATTTTTTCTGCATCTTTTCGCACAGCTTGTGCTTTCTATTAAGCCTGGTTTTCATATATCGTAACCCGTCGGCGATGATCCCCGATGCACAGCATTCCTGATGGTCGGGGACCATCCCCGACGGTTGGGGATGATCTTCGACGGTCGCGGACGATCCCCGACGGTCGGGGACGATCCCCGATGGTCGGGGACGATCCCCGATGGTCGGGGACGATCCCCGATGTTATAAACAATATTGAAGCGCCAAAACAATAATATTGATGAAAGTTTGGGAATATGGCTACTGATAAAGGCCAAAAGTCAACATTTGATACCTACATCGATCTATGATCAACACATTGACGTTTATGAGCAACACATTGATAATTTCGGGATTAATTTGCAAATGAAAATTCATTACAACAAAGTAAGAAACTTTCCCCGCGCACCCGCAAACCAGCCTTTAGACTTTGAGGTTACGGTAAACGTTTTCTTGACGAAACCATTTTTCGATTTCTTTATTAAAACTACTAGTTAAGGTCTGAAAATCTCTTGACCTGGTTGACTGGGCCCGGGGTGCCGATTATCTTTGTTTTGCGGTTGTGGTCGCATGTATCCAATGTATGACTATGTTTATTCAAACAGGCTTATTCATCTTAAAGCTTCAAGTAACTTGACCCGGTTTTCACTGTTCTTTACGAGTGTAGTCTTGCATGTGCGATCAGTAAAATTCCGTTTTCTACGGACTTACAACTCCTCTACATACAGGTACGAAAAAACTATTTTGTACCCAAGGAACTAATCGAATGGCTCAAAAATTTGCACACGGCCAGGACAGATGTCGGATAAGCAAAGTGTGTCTCAAATTTGTGTAGCTGGGAATCAGTTTACTGCAAACTATGTCATAATTCAATTAAACTAGGAATTATACTTGAAAAAATTAACGAATTAATAAACGACGTTTCTAGCATAGCCCGTTATCAAATTAGTATATTTATGTCATAATTCATTCCTAAAATCTCATGCAATATATGACGGAATGGAGAATTATATTGCAAGCAAAACGGGGACTTGTGCCCAGGGATGGTGCCAGAAAAGAAATGCACGGGGGGGGGGGGCTGTAATTTCAGAGTGCCGACAGTGAGTGACCCACCAACAAAGACCTAATATAACACCATTTCCGCTGTGGTAATTACAGTTCCAAAAATGAAAAAAATCTTAAAAAAATCAAACAATGAAAAAAAAATTTAAAAAAATCACGAAGTGGAAGTTATGAAAGTGCTGACATTGCTTAAAATTTTTCCAAAAATTGAAGTGCCGACGGAGCGGATTTTCTGCCTTGTTCCAAACAAGGGAAGGGGGGGATACGGCTGGTCATTAGTGAGGAGATAGAAAGCCCCCTTTGTCACTAGACACGACTTTTGAATAAAGTTGGACAAAATTTCTTTTTAGTACAAAACGCAGGAGTTTTAGCGCTACAAATACAAAATCAAGATGCCTTTGAGTTCTTACTTGAAATGCAAAATTAAATAGCCTGTCATAGGACGTTTAAAAAATTTTATCCTTTATAATTCCAAGAGCAAACTTAACTATTAAGGAGTATTTGATGGTCCAAGCAAAGAGCCAGGGCCTATTTTAAGAAATGTTCATTACTGCACATATTTAAAAAAATTACAATACTGCACATTTATAATCATATTTTTTATCGGAAATTTTGTTGTTGCAATCAGTGCAAACCGCTGCAAACCCCAAGTATTTTAGCCATGCAAGCGTACCCAGGAAATTGCCCGAATTTTCAACACGTGTATAGGCCATGACGGAGAAATCACAAACAGATAGACGATAATATACACAATCAATAATAACATTTCAAAACAGCAACAAAACAAACAGAAGCTACAAAACCTGAATAGAAACATAGTCATTTATTTCTTGTAAACGGAGTCACTATCTCATGTTTTGTCTGGACAGTAAAACAAAAAAGTTTTATTAGGCTCTTTATCTTTCTTTTAGTTAAGTTAAGTGAGCTTCTGCTAGATGCCCAGAGCATCATAGGGCAACTGATAAATTATTACTGAATGTTTTGTCTTCGACAAGATCAAATTACTAAATTTACAGCAATGCTGACATTTACAGGAGATGTTTTGTTTTTGGTTCTGGGAATTTCGATTTGTTTTAATATTGATAAGAGAGTCTTTCCGATGGTTAAACGAGATTACAATACATGAACTCTATATCGAAGTGACGAGGAAAATTCACATTTTGTGAACAAAGCAGGAATCTGGAATAGCCGCAAAAAAGACATTTTCAAAAATCCGTAAAATCAATACTCCATATTTTGGAAATCAATACTGTACGTTTTTAAATGAATACTGAACAAAGTGTGTAATACTGAACACTAAAATAGGTCCTGGAAAGAGCATTATCATTCAAGAAAGGAACATGCACAAATTACATAACAAAATATAGGCAACATTGGAAAAATCCCCTTCCCCCTAAATTATCATCTAATTTGCTGCAAACTTTTGATGCAAACGTTTTTTCAAGAGGTCAATTGATGGTTGTAATCAATTATAGTTATTTGCGAATATTAATAATTGCCTTTCGAAAGTTTTCAAGTTTTTTGAAAAATATAACTCGAAGCAAGGGCGTACCGGGAAATTTCGAAGTGTCCTGGTAGGCCGAAAAGCGATGGGTGGAGAAAAACTGGATAATTTTTGGCAGGTAGAAAGGCCAAAAGTTGGTGTATCCTACAAAGCAGTGAGAGATCGCTTCCAGAATATTTTCACCAACAAAAATTCCAAAAATAGAAGAGAAGAAAGTGCAAGTGGAATTAATCCTGAGCACACAGAAAACATGTTCTCCTTGCAAGATAAGTGAGCTTTTGATGCAGCAATTGCTGATCAGCAAGTAGCATCCCAGCAAGTTAAAGAAAGACAAACGGCAGAAAACCTTTCAAAATTATTCAAAAAAGAATCAGAGTTGGCTATTTTACTCAATCCGGGCTGACTCACCATTGCGTTTGGAAACCAAGTTTAGACCCACTTTCCGTTTAGAATACAAATTGAAGAGAGTTTACCTTGAGTGAACTCAACACAGGTTGAACCCGGGTAGCTTTTTGTAGTGTAAACCGGGCTTTCGATTGGAAATAATTTCACTTGCTTTCATTGTTAAGCGTCGGACGAAGAGTGCAAGTGAATTTTGTTCCACTTTTCCGAGGTATTTTGAACATTATTTATTCCTGGCACTCATATTGTAACTTTCTAAATGTATTATCAGTCATTCTATCAGTTCAATTTTGCGTAGACACGACATGCTCAATGCATTCTAAACAACAGGTTACACCATTCAACCTTTTCCTCTCTTGGGTACAGTTAAATTTTAGCTGTAAGTCAGCCCTATGAGTTATTTTTCTCCGATCGCAGTAGCTGCCTAAAAAACAGTGGCGGCTCTTGCTAATGGGCATCTGGGGCAATGCCCCCTCAAAAAGATTCAAAGGAAATTTATGATATTCATATTTAATTTTGAAGATAGTCTTACTGTGTTTAATTATATAAGTTTGTATCTCTTCTAGAAAAAGCTCTTTGCTATCCCGTCTCGTCCTTAGCCTCGCTTCTGGCCCGCTAGTGCCTTGAGCGATGATGTCATTCAACGGGCAAAGTTCTTTTGCCCCTAGCCGACATGCGCACAAGCTAATTTTCGACCTCGAGCATCGCGAAACGCGGCCTGTGATTGGCTTATTTGGATGAATTCGGGGCAAGAAAAAATTTTGCCCATAAAATGACATCATCGCTAAACAACAACCACATCTATATATGCTTTTTCTTCTGCGCACCATGACGATCAACATCGAGCCATGAATACAGTGAAAATTTGCAAACTCTACCTTTCTATCGATTATCGCAATATTGATGGTCTGCCCTCCCAACTGTGAAAGTCACGAGCCGCCACTGCAGTAAAAAATCACCATATCTTTGAAACGCGCTGAGATTTGTAAGAGTTGTTAGTTTCTATAGACTAAACACTGAAGCAACGAACGTCGTAGAGAAATCAGTTTTGTTGATTTTCTTGATTACTTTGATAAAATATTAATAAAAATTATGGACGAAAATTTGCATTAAAAGAAGCATAAATAAAGGATTTTTCTGGGAATTCGGAGCTGGAGAAATCCCAAACGAGGCAGGCTTAAGAAGGTAACTTTCAGAGTTGTTTTGATGTTCGCAACTTATCAAAAAATAATTTCGCAACATTAGATCTGCAAATTTTTTTTGACAAATTTTCAGCCTGGGTAGGGGGTAGAGTGAACCAAGTAATATTTTCGGTAGTGCGAACACAAAGTTACCTAGCCAAGGTTGATCTGGGCTGACTCGGCTTTATTAGCGTATTGCTTAATTATCAATTTTTATTGAATCAATCGAATTCTAAGCCACATTTTTAGGGGGTGTGGCTCAGTTTTTCCCGCCACGCCCTAAACCACGCTTGACTTTTCTAGCCACCCTGCGATTTTGACGCCAGACCGCCCCTGAGTGTGGCTTTGAAATAGTTTAAAAATTTCAATGATTATATAAAATCAAAAATTGGTTACCATATTTAGATTCTGTTATTAATATCCAAGCACTGAATTATGACCTATTTTCGGCTTTTTCTAGAGTTTGGCTGGATCCGTTTTAAAACAGATAAATCATTATTTTCTGGAATTTCGACGAGACAGAAAACACCACAGCAAGCACTGCGACTGTAAATGCTTGGAATTTGCGAACAACGGCTTATTTCTCCAATATTAACATCAATTCATAAATTTAAGTGCAATATAAGGCCACTCACCAAATTTCACATCGATATTCGAAAGAGAAGTGAACGAAATCAATCCTTACTTTTACCAAACTTATAAGGGCTCGGTATGGAGCAAGTTCCTTTTTGCCACTATTCAAAATGGCGGAAGAAAACAAATCTGCCTCACAGCGGACCTGTAAGTTAGACATCTAGCGCCTTCGGCGCTTCTATATCATTGAATGAGGTGTTCTTGTCCATCTTGTCCACTGACCAGTGAGTGGTGTTGTCCCGGTCAGCGGAGGCCAGACTGAAGACGTCAAGAGGCCAAATCAAAGCTTTCTGTAGCCAAATTCTTCAATATCAATAATATAAATTGTTTCAAAACATAAAATGTATTGTTCTTAATAATAGATTTCATAACCATGAAGATGATAACAATGGAGTAAACGCGTAGGCATAAAAGTTGCAAGGAAAAATCAACTGTTCTCTATTCCTATAGATTCTAGATAATCAAATCTCAGGAACAGACCTACGATTTGGACAGTTGAGGCCAATCAAAATATTTCAGAAATTTAGCCTCGTAGGAGGCCAAATAACAAAAATATTATGTTATCAATATTCAATTTTAAAATGTTGACTCACAGCCTAATCACGATGTTAAAATATCATGGAAAGTAACGGTAACAAATTGAACATAATATAGAATTTATCTAAGGTTTAACAATTCTTAGTAGGAAATTTCCAGTTTCAGTGGCACAAAAAATCTGCAGAGTTACTGAGTTATATGTACCCACAATGACAGGAATAAGCTCTACAATATTGGTATTCATGATCAAATCATATTGATAGCATGACAAGAAACAGATCATGGATATCATATCACTGTATCTTAAGAAAAACTACTTACCAAATAGCTGTCGAAATACAGTTGTGTACCAGCATGATAACATAGCGACTAACACATTACACATTTCTAATCTTAGAGATACAAATGTCTAATCTAATACATTATATACAAATATCAAATGCAATACATCTTTAATGTTCAAGTCATGAAAATCCGTCAGTGTGAGATGATGAAAATAATAACAGTAATTCCTGGTAAAACTCTGTATCATTCAATCTACTATCAACAAAAATACTCACATCACTTGGAATGTTGAAACACAATTTCTTCAAGAATCATACAACTGCTTTTGACACAAGTTCTTTTAACAATGAGCTGAGGTCTCAAAGGTCCTAATAAACAGAGAGTCAAAAAGAGGTTCAAAAAAATACTTACGATTCAGACTTTGGGAAAACAACCTGATGATAAAAATTATTACCACTACGACGACAAAAAAGACATCGTGGTTCTTTAACTTGAATCCATCGATAAAATCAATGATAAATTGACATATTTGACAAAATCAGTGCAACAGACAATCCAGTAAGAAAACATAATGATAAATCCAGTCAAATAAATGTTTCTTCTCTAGCTAGAGTAATCCTCAGTATAATTTAATAAAGGCGAAATATTTAAGATGAAATTGTAATGTTCACATAATTAGTATCCCATATGTACACTAAATCCCGTATGTAATCCGCCCATGAAATCTCGTACACACAAGTTTTGGTACTGCGTTCAGTTTTTTATATGTATGGAGTTCATATATAGTCGGTATTTTAGTAATTATATTATCATGAACATTTCTCTATGATCAGCTCCTAAAACATTATAGAAATGTCAACTGGAAGATTTACAAGCTAGAAATAGCTTTTCCTGCCTTGAAATAGCTTTTCCATACAAGAAAATAAAATTTAAATAACGACATACAAAAATTGAACAGTGAAGCGTAAAAATTCCATAAGAAATTAAGCATATAATTGAATTAATGGTTGGACATGTTTTAAAAATACCGTCATTCTTAACCCCAAATTATCGGCCTCGTAAAAAACGTTCATGATGTTACCGCCTGTAACAACCTCGATCGGATGACACCACGAGATGCAACCGCAAAAAAGTTGCAAACGAATTTTGGTACTATTTCTAACAATCATCTTGATGTCAAAGCTGCAGTTATTTTCAGTATTGCTTTGGCATTATAGTTGCTGTTATTTCTATAATGCCAAATTTCTGCTTGGTGTTATAATGCACGACACGAAATCTCCTGCAATATGACTTCTCCGTATGCTATGCAATGGTCTCAAATTCAATTTCTTCCTTCTGTTTCGTCTATATCATACCAATGATGCCAGATCATTTCTTTGAATTATATCGTCCTTTCGTTCCTTTTCTAAGCGTTGTATCAATGCTGCTGCCAGCTGGGGTTTGAAGAGCCAAGTGCTTCCAGGCTTGCGATATCTGCTCAACCTAAAATGAAACATTCTTTAATCAATATCAAATTGTAAACCATCTCAACGTTATATTTTTAAACTGATAAATGCGAATAACTTTATTCATCTTATTTCGTCCTTTCTCCTATCAAATGATGAGTTTCACAGCTAAGAACGTAAAAATTCAAGTAATTTCAGGCATCAGTTGCCATTTTTGACTTCTATGATAGAAACCCTATTAACTTCTCTATCCAAAAATATTGAACTTACTATGCCAATAATTCAATCATTATAGGAATTTTGACTGTAAAAGTTACTGTGGGTATACCAACCTACAATTTCTTCATTCAACGCAGTGACTGTCACACCACGCTCTGAAGCTCATAAATTGGCAATTCTCGGTTAACTTAGTGTGGTTACAAACAGCTTTCGTCTTTCTTTACATCAATAATACACCAATTCGACTAACGGCCTCGTTTTGGAAATTTCTCCAAACTTCATTGTACGACTTTTTTAAGCTCAGATTTGGTTTGATCCCCATGATATCAGACTGGATTCAATTTTTCGTAATGTTTGTGCTTGTATATTACGGAAAAATTAAGTTTGAAAATTTGTAAGAGATTTGACAGCAAAAATCATTCCAGGTGAAACTTAACACCCCTAGTTGCCAGTCACGGTCAAATCCCTTATAAAATTTTCAATTTTCAAATCAATATCGTGAGCAATTCTATAATGAAAACTTCCAACTAGACTGAAATCCTTACTCGCAATCCGAATCTGAGGTCACAAATTTTTCAAAAAAGAATTCGTTGAAGCCGTAAGTTGAATGAATGTAATTAGAGCGTGATGCCTTGCATAATTTGCTTACTGGTATCAAATGGTCCTCATTTTGCTTCTCAATCTGAGACACCTCTTCTGAAGTCATTAGGCCCAAACGAATTTGCTTGACCACGTCTTTTGCTACCGTATTCACAGGTTGTTCCAAAACAAGCTGCAACAAAAGCGAACAAGAAATCATAATCTTTGTGTCATACTCATTTTATTTTACAAGATATACAGAAAGCCTTAAGTAAATATGGGTGGTTTACGAGCTCCCTTATTCATCCTTAGAAAAGAATATTTTGACCTTGGAAATACGGTAAAAATAGCATGATGCTAAACATTACTGCAATTGCCCTATAGCATTTAAAATATTTTGCTTGACGCATTCATTTTGATAGATTGTATTCAGCCAGGAGCCCTCTAGTCTGTGACGAGTTTGGAGATTTAAAACCTTGGCTTTAGACTAGCTCTAAGCGTTTAAGAATACAAATTAAGGTCTCCTTTGTCTTCGCAGTTTGCAATTGCTTTTTCCTACCTTAAAAAAACTCCTGACATTCCCCTAGAAAAACACAAGAAACATTGTTATTTAAAACAGCCCCCCCCCCCTCTACACGTGTGACAGTACTTCGAGTCGCGTTAGGATTTAGACGAAGAAGACTTCATAGTTTCTCACATTTTCTTGATTATTAAAAAGCTCCTTTAACTACAAAATCAATCTATTTATATTCTTTAAAACGGAAATGCTAGATACAATGGTTGAGTGACAGTTGGCTACTACGCATACATACATTAAATACTTACATGGGGAAGAGGTTACAGAAGTATACAGCGATCCTGTTACAGTCCACCCCTCGTTGGCAAAAAAATTAGAAACTTGTTTATAATTTTTTTTATACAATACGCGAAAACGAATTGCAGATTATGTAATGTCCATTATGATTGTTTGGTTATTTTTACGAAAATTAACGACATATCCGAGAGAATACTTCTTGATTAAGCGATATAACGTAAGTACCTCCGTGCAGTCCTCCTTCGAGTTGGAGGTATGGGCACGATTTTACAAGACCTCTAAGACGACCATTACGTGCAAGCACTTCCCGAGCGGTGGGAAAATGCTCGACGGTATTGGTTTCTAGAAATTCGGATAATGCTGAAGAATCTAACCCTGTGCTCTTAACGTGTGTTGGCAAGGAGACAAGCGGATCGACACCTAAAGGCGGATTATGCACATTTGCTAATACCTGTGAATACCAGTGGTCGGACATTTGTTTTGCAGTATAATCCACGGTATCTTCATACACCACACTATCCGCTTTGGAGAAAGATCGTATAGTGCCGAGCGAAACATTAAAAGGTATATTTGCAGAACCTTTGTTCGAACGTATTAAGATATTGGTTACGAAGGCCATATCAGGTGGATCATCAGAGCATATGGCGTCGTTGCTTTGAGGTGCCAAAACAGCCACACAAGAAGGTGGGGTCGGGGCCAGTGGCCGACTTGGTCGACATTTTGAAAACCCAGGGTGGCTGGCAGGGTAAAATTGGGGCAGTTGTTCATCAGAAAAAGGTACGCTCTTCAGGGAGGCAAGGTCTATTGGACCACTAAGGGTTTGAAGCCCTGGTGAAAACGTATTGCCCTCCAG